TCAGGTAAAGAAAAGCTTAGGTACATGCCTTTAATCCCAAACAATTAAGGTAAAGACAATTTGTAGAATGAAGCACCCATGTTTGAAAGTGATGTCTAATTAAGTGACAGAAAAAAATGATGAATCAGAGAAAGACTTGACAGAATAGGATACACCCACCTCTCAAGAGAATAGAGAGGAAAGGGAAGCTACATAAGAGGAGATGAGAGAGGAGGAGGCAGTTTTACAGTAATAGAGAGGGGTTGCAGACTCAGGTGAAGACGGAATGAGCTGAAAGACCCCTGCCTCACCCTAAGTTAAACATAGCTATGAGAAACTCTGTAGGCTAGGTGGGGAACTGGAAAATTACTGAGAAACCTAGCTGTGTCACCCACTTGGGATATCTGCGGTCAGGCTGCCCCAGTCATACTAAAAACAGTTTGTGTTAATCACCCTCATAGATATCTGTGAGACTGTTTCAGTTAAGATAGAGAAAAACAAAATAACAGGTGGCGGGCCACGTCAAGGGGTCATCCTAACCCCCTTGACCACCCAGTTCCTGGAATCTTGGTGCCCCTGCCAAACTTTGACGCAAATCGTGGTCTCATGTAAACGGACCAATCAGCCCCCTGTAACCATGCTTCTCGCTTCTGTACCAGTGCTTCTGCTCTAAAACCCTATAAAAACCCCAGCTTCCCACCTAGGGGGCGCGCAAAGTCTCTCGAATGACTTTTCGCCCCGGGTACCCGTGTATCAAAATAAAAGCCTCTTGCTGTTTGCATCCGAATGGCCTCGTTGTTCCTTGGGAGGGGGTCTCTCTGACGGAAGATACCCTCCGGGGATCTTTCAGAGCCAGAGAATGAGAATGGGCCAGAAGATTAGAAAAGATTTCTGGAGTTAGTTTGAGGCCAAGTGGAGCAATTTGGAGGTCGAGAGAGAAGCCATATTGAATAAGTCAGCTGGGACAGGAGTTTGAGTCAGGACAGCTGAATTGAACCAGCCAGCCCAGAGCTCAGAATAAGAAAGGGTGAACTTATTCAGCAGTAAATCTCAGAAGAGGGAAACATTCTAGGCCTAGGTTAGATTGTATGGAGGTTAGAAGCTTCCAGGACTAGGCCTAGGCTAGCAGACAGAAGCAATAAGCCTCCAAGACAGTTGAAATAGGAGAATGAAAGTTTCTTTTATACCTGGTAGCTAATGAACGAAACGTGGTGACTCCCCAACAAAGGGATATGACCAGTGAACTCCAACAGTGAATTTTTCTGTTAAACATTTTCAGATTGTATGCATGCACATACTCCATGTCACATATATAGAAGTCAGAATATAGTACATTTGTTGTTTGAAGACAGGATCTTACTCCAGAGCTACATAACAGTCTCAAAAAGAAAACACAACAAGCAAAAGTCAAGGTCTCCCTATGTAAGCCCTTGAGTGATCTGGAACTTACTGCCATGAATTCACAATGATCTTCCTACCTCTGCCTCCCAGGTGCTGGGACTAAAGTATGCATGCCCTACCACAGCCTGCTTGTTAGCAGTGCCATGGAAAAATAATCAGTTATACTGGGCTTAAAGAGAGTATATTGCTCAGAGTGTAGATTTGCCTAGCTACTTGGGAAAATTTTTTAAAATATTTGTTTTTATATGTATGAGTGTTTTGTCTGCATGTATGTCTTATGTACCACATGAGTGCTGGCAACCAAACCTGGGTCCTTTGCAAGAGCAGCAAATGCTCCTAATTATTTATCCATCTCTCCCTGGGAAAAAAAAAAATTGGCTGGAGAGATGGTTCTTTCTTGAGGACCTGGGTTCAATTCCCATCACCCACATGGCAGCTCACAACTGTCTATAACTCCTGTTCCAGGGGATCCAATACCCTCACATAGACATATATGCAGTCAAATGCTAATGTATGTAAAACATAAATAAATAAATTAAAAATTTTAATGTATTTAAATAGTGGGATGCAATATAGCAGAGAAACTACAACTTTATATTATACAATGTGTATTGTAAAAATATACTGTTGAAAGTAAGTAGCTATGTAATGAAGCATGCAACTAATTTTTACAAAATGCAAAGACAGGTAAAAACAATTATCTTACTGGCTAGGGAGTATCTCAGTGGCAGAGCATGTGCTTGCACAAGGTCCTTGACTCAAACCTCAGGACTAAACCAAACAAACCCAACTGTGTGCACCTGTAATTCCAGCATTAGGGAGGTGGAGGCAGAGGAATCAGGATTTTAGAGCCAGCCTTTTCTATAGAAGGAGCTTGAAGCCAGACTTGTATTCTCTCTAAGAACAAAAGAAACAAAACCAACAACAGCAACAACAGACAGAGGAGCAAACTATATATCGAAAGCACTCAGGATTACTCAGGGGGATTCTGAATTTGAGGCAATAGAGTGACACTGTTGCAAACCCTTTCCCAAAAGCACACTGTTTAGGAATACATGTATATTATTTACATAAAGAAAATAGAAGAGCCAATGATATAGTTTAGTGTTAAAGAGCTTGCCTTGCATGGGTGAGACCCTGAGTTCAATTCCTAGGACTCAAACCAAACCAAACCACAAAACCTTAAAACAACTTTCAAACAGCCCCCTCAACAACAACAACAACAACAACAACAACCACATAAGAGTACCTTTGGAGGAAAAAGAATAAAGTGAGCTGGCCTTGGTGGTACACGCCTTTAATCCCAGCACTCAAGGAAGCAGAGGCAGTTGGATCTCTGAGTTTGAGGCCAGCCTGGTCCAGAAATCGAGTCCAGGACACCCAAGGCTATACATAGAGAAACTCTGTCTTGACAGGGAAAATAAAAATAAAATAAAATAAAAAAGAATAAAATGAACTCTGGGAGTCAACAGTGCAGCTCAGCATTCTGTTTCTTAAATTAGGAGGCACAATTGTAGGTGCTTTATTTATTTATTTATTTATTTATTTTTTTGTATATGTTCAACTTAAAATTAATGGAGTTATGGTTAATTGGCATTTACTTGACAGTTTATTTATATTCTTCATGCGTCATAGCCATGCATTATTTTTATCTCGAGTTGCTTTCCTTTGGGATGGAGGGGAGTAGGTTACTACACAGTTAGCCTGAAGGATTGATTAAGCTAATGTGCAATTATTTCCCCTGCTCTGGAGACCTGTGATTTCTGTCCAACGTTCCCCAGAAACTCTAAAACTGTATCAGATACGAAATCAGCCAAGACAGAAGAATGCTACTTGGATTTACAATGTTGCAAAACAAATATATGCTTTTTAGTTAACAAGATGCTGAAGATTGTTTTATTTCTTAATTTCTACACAGCTTGCTAAAGTTTCATTTTTCTTACTGACAGTGGAGTGCAGTCCTTTCTGTCCCTCCATCTCAAAGCTTTAGTTTCTGCAGTTTTTTGGAGAAAAGCTCTTTCCTTGGGGATGGAGAGATGGCTTAACAGTTAAGAGCAGTTTTGTAGAGAACCTGGGTTTGGTTCCCAGCATTCACATCAGGTGGCTCACAACAGGCAGTTCAAGGCACCTGCACGAACATGTTACCCACACACAAGTAGGCGCACACACAAATACATAAGTCTTTCTAAAAACAAACAAACAAACAAACAAACAAACAAACAATGGCAGGGCCTGTATGGTGGTGCACAACTTTAATTCCAGTATTTGGGAGGTAGAGGTAGCAGGATTTCTGCAAGGCTTCTCAGAGAGACCCTGTCTCAAAAACAAACCAAAACCAAAACAGAAAAGAGGCAGGTGGGGATGCGGGGAGGGGACGGGGATGGGGACAATGGCTGAAGAGATGACTCGGTGTTAGTGGTTCTCAGCACCCTCACCAGGCATCTCACAACTCTTGTAGTTTCAGGAGATGTGAAGAATCTGCATGCCTGTGGTGCACACACACAATAAATAAAAATAAATATTAAAAACAAAAACCCAAAGCCCCTTTCCTTGCTTCTTTTTGGTCTGTCTGACATTGTTTTTTCTCTTACAAAGGTGCATGTGGAGCTCATTAGTAGAGCACTCACCTAGAGGGAACAATGCTCTGGATTCTATCCTCAGCATCCTAAGAAAGCAAGCAAAAGTATGCCGGAGAGCAAAGAACTCTCTAAAACTGTCTTAACGTTTATTTTATGTGTTTGGGTGTATTTTATGTATATGCGTGCACTATGTGCCTGTTGTGCTCACAGAGGGCTGTGTAAGAACCGCTGGGATTAGGGACTGTAGTTACAGATAGCTGTGAGCTATCGGGTGCTGGGAAGCCAACTTTGTTGTTTTCGAGACAAGGTCTTTCTGTATAGCCCAGGTTGTCCTGGAACTTGCTCTGTAGTCGAATCTAGTCTCAAACTCAGAGATCTGCCTGCCCCTGCCTCCTGCGTGCTGGGATTAAATCCCTGCACCAACACGGCCAGACCTCTAACCTGGGTCCTCTTACCATGGAGATTTAAGACTAAGCCCTCTGCTCTTGTTTTTCACCACAGCCTCCAGGCTTCTCGAAGGCAACTGCGTGACATGTGTGTCACACAGAGTAAGATTTTCGTGTTTAAATGATGTACAATGTTTTGTTCAGTCAAATTGCTCCACCTTGAAGACCTAATCTCTTTGATCTGATTTAAGCGTCTGTGTGAGTCCCAGAGCAGCTTCTATTTCCATCTCTCCAGTGTCGGTGTTTAACTTTATACTGGGCTTTTTACCGGGATAACCCAGGTCCTAGTAATTTACCGACTGGCCTTGAGCTACTAATCCTCCTGCCTCCACCTCCTAAGCGCCAGAGTTACAGGCACATGCCACCATGGCAGGCTTCTTTCTGAAGGAGATTCTGAGGAACCCAGCCACTGACGGGCCCCGCCTAGCTGTGCCAGCCTGTTCTTAGAACCGTTTCACGCCCGCTAGGGCCAGGGGAGAGCACAGTGGCTTTACAGCTGCGTTCCGCAACGTTCTCCGCGTTTGGCCGAAGGATGCTTCCTACAGCGCAACTTCCGGGGCGGGCTGGCCGTGGTTTCCGGCGCCAGGCACTGCGTTCACGCTGTTCGAATGGCGGCCCCGCTGCTTCACACGCGCCTGCCCGGCGATGTGGCGCCTACGGCCTCTGCCACGCTGAGTGCGTCGCGGACTGGGTAAGATCCGGGCGCCCTCCCCCTGCGGGTCCGGGGCTCGAGTGGGCTGAAAGCGCTCGGGGTGTGCTGAGGGCTGTGAGGCGTCGGGGCGTGCGGGCTCGGACCAGCTGCACAGGAACCTCCTGCTCCTCAGCCTGGGTAAAGGCGCCGCGTTAGCGAATCTTGTCTGTTCCACTGACTTCCACTCACGTTTGGGGCGCCCTTGTGGATCTCGGGACCTATGTTCTGCGCCTTTCCTCTTTCCTCCATTGGCCTAGATGTGGTCGGCATTCCCTGGTCGGCATTTCTGGAGGAATGCTGTCACTCGTGGCAAATTGAATCCTAAAGATTTGTTTGAAATGGTTTCTGCAGAGGGGAGCAGTAGACCCAGTTGAACAGGATCTTATCTAAGCAGTCATTTTCTTGCCCAACATTTTAAAATGCTAGTTTCTACATTTGGGGTTTAACCTTTAGATTTTCTAGGATTCTCGGTTTTTATTGTTTTATTTATTTATTTATTTTCGAGACAGGGTTTCTTTGTGTAGCCTTGGCTGTCCTGTACTCACTTTTGTAGATCAGGCTGGCCTTGAACTTGGAGATCCGCCTGTCTCTGCCTCCCAAGTTCTGGGACTAAAGGCCTGGCTTGTAGGATTCACTTTAAATGAAGTAAACCTTGTAAAGCACTTAGCATAATACTGACAACTATTTATGAAATGTGTACTTACTGTGTTAAGACACTTGGGAGAGTAGCTTATACAGAGTCTAACATTGTAACAGAGCTGGGACAGCAATAAATGAAGATGGTGGTTTCAGGTATCAATCAGTAAGTGCTACAACATAGTAAGAACTACATCATAGCAGGATAAAGGATGAGTGTGTGAGGTTCTGGTGGAGAGGGCTTCTGACATTTGACCTTCAATCTTGTATATACCTGGGAAGAGTGTTTCTAAAAGTAAGTAGCAAGTGAAATGGGAACCTGCTTGACAAGTTTGAGGAATAGAAAGGACACCATGCTTTTAACAAATGGTTGTACCTTGAGATCAGAGAGTTAAGAAAGGGCTGATTAAAAAGGATCCTACAGGATTAATTCGGGAATCTGGAGTTTCTTTTTGCCTTTCTTTTCTTTTCCTTCCCTTTCTCTTAAAAAATAAATTTTGAGATAAGATCTCATTATGTAGTCTAGGTTGGCCCCCAACTCCTGGATTCTGCCTCAGCCTCCCAAGTGCTGTTTTTTGAGTGTGTACAATTGTGTCCTTTAGGTGTTTGAGTTTGTATTTTTTTTTCTAGGTGCCATGAGAAGACAGTGTGACTGAGTGAAGAGTGGATTGGTGGGGAATAAGATTGGAAGCAGAGCTATCATTTAAGAAATTTTAGTTTCATCACACAAAATGATGTTGGTTTAGTAATGTTCACTGTTATCAATCTCTATCATGAATTTAATAACTTTTCCTGGTTCTTCAGACTTTCAGATATGCTTGCGTTAGAGAGTGATTTCTTCAATTCTCCCCCAAGAAAAACTGTTCGGTTTGGTGGAACTGTGACAGAAGTCTTACTGAAATACAAAAAGGTATGAGGAGATACTGTGTGGGATTTGACTTTGGTTAGTCAGAATATAGTAGGTATTACACTGAAGAGCAGATTATCAAGATTTTGGGTTCCTTTCTGAATGCCCCCCCCCCCAAAAAAAAACCCCACAAAAATAGTAAACATAATAAAATTAAGTTCATCATATATGAGTGTGCATTTACTTAGGTTTTGCAAAGATGGAGATTGGAACTAGGACCTTGTTCACACCAGTAAAACAGTTCTAGTTGAACTCTTTCCTTAGCCTAAAAATAAATTTTACTCTGGGCTTGGTGGCTCTTTTCTTTAATCCCAGCACTTGGAGGTAGAGGCAGGTAGATATCTGAACTTAAGGCCTTTGTCTAAAACAGTGGTTTCATCCTTCCTAATGCTTTGACCCTTTTAATACAGTTTCTCATTATTATTATTTTGCCACTTCATAATTTTAATTTTGCTAATGGTATAAATTGTAATCCTGTGTTTTCTGATGGTCTTAGTTGACCCCTGTGAAAAGGTAGTTCAATCCCTGAAGGGGTCACGATCCACAGTTTGGGAAAATGGAGGTAGGGAAATATTTAGATAACATTGAAATAGAATATTTAGTGAGATGCATGATACAGTAAGTTTAAAAGTAGTCAAAACAAGGGTGCCAAGTTTTGGGTTGTTTTTTGAGACAGGGTTTCTCTGTGTAGTCCTGGCTGTCCTGGAACTCATGCTTCAGACCAAATTGGTCACGAACTCAGAGAATCACCTGCCTTTGCCTTCTGAGTACTGGGATTAAAGGTTTGTGCCACTACTGCCTGACACCATTTTATTTATTTTTTGTTGTTTGTTTGTTGTTTTGAGACAGATTTGTCTGTGTAGCTCTGGCTGTCTGGGCTCACTCTGTAGACCAGGCTGGCCTTGAACTCAAGAGATATGCCTGCCTTTCCAAGTTTTGGGATTACCAGCGGGTGCCACCACACCGAGCTACCATTTTATCTCTTAAGAAGAAGAATAAATTAGAGATCTTTGGTTTTGTGTTGGCCAAGGGGTTCCTCTAGATCTCATCACTAAAGATAAAACATAAATGATTGTGTCTTACAGTTCCCATATTTAGCTATACATTTGAATAGATGCTATCTAAATTTTTCCTGACATGTATTGCTATAATGTTTTTATCTCATACTTTTAGATTTCTCATTAGTATCTGCTATAGTAGTTAAGTGTCCACACGCTGGTATGGCTGTATATGAGTGACTGTTTACTCTTCCCTTGTCCTAGACCTCTGATTCTCCTAACACAAGCTCCTTGTGCCTTGATTGTTTTTCTTTGCAGTGCTAAGGATTGAACCTAGGCTAAGCCCTCCACCACTGTGCTATAGCTGCAAGAGAGAGGGTTGCCCAGATAGGTGACCTTGGACTTGCTTTCTGAATAGCTGGGATTATGGCCATAAATGACAGCCAGGTCTGCCTTAAATATGAACTCTTAAAAAGTTTTAAAGTCCTGACTTTATTATTGTGAGGGATGTGAAAGTTTCATGATTCTTTCTGCAATTCTATAGGTATCAAGGCATAATAAAAATTCTGTTGGTATTTAAAAGAAACTGTACTTAATTGTACTTTAATTTTCTCTTTTCTCTGTTTAGGGTGAAACAAATGACTTAGAATTGTTGAAGAACCAGCTGTTAGATCCTGACATAAAGGTAATTAAATTTTTAAATTATATTTATCACTTTTAATTATGTATTTTGCACATGTGGGCACACCCGTATGTGCTACAGCAGCCGTGAAGGCCAGGGGACACCTTGCGGAAGTTGGCTTTGTCCTACTTTGTGGGTGTCTGTGATCGACTCTAGATCGTCATGTTTGTACCAATGGTCCTAGTCTTTCCTCCAGAACTTGCTTTCTGTGCCCTTCATCTTAATTAACTCAGTGGTTCTCAACCAACAGCAGTCTTACTCTCTAGTGGACATTTAACAATGGCTGGAGAGACTTTTGTTGTCAGCAGTGGGAGGGAGAATTCCTGGTGTCTAGTGGTTGGGTGATTGGGCTTTCCATGCCCCTCCTGCCACGTGGCTTAACAAGTAGGCTAGAGAGATGGCTCCAGTGGTCATGAGCACGTGGTGCTCTTTCAGAGGAGTTGGGTTCTGTTCCCAGCACCCACATGGCAGCTAATAACCCTTTGTAACTCTTTTCAAGAGATGTGAAACTCTTTTCTGTACTGTGCAGTCTGTCCTTTGTGTACATGGTGCATGTACATACATGCTGACAGAACCCTCATGTCCATAAAATAAAAATAAATAAATCTTAAAAATAAAAAAAAGAGGGCTGGAGAGATGGCTCAGAGGTTAAGAGCACTGGCTGCTCTTCCATAGGTCCTGAGGTCAATTCCCAGCAACCACATGGTGGCTCACAACCATGTGTAATGAGATCTCTGTAATGCCCTCTTCTGGCCTGCAGGCATAGAATACTGTATAACTAATAAATAAAGTGAATAAATAATAAAAAATAAAAAAAGAGGGGAGAACCAAATGAGTTGAGATACCAAGTGTCTTAGAACAGCCTCCAACCTGAAATAAAGACTTTGTCATTATTAGCTATGATTTTTGTTCCTGTTCAGTCTGTACACTCCTACTCCTCCTGTCTTATTTACATTTAAGTCAACTTATTATTGCTCTAATTACTTGACAGAAGTTACTAGTGATCATATTTTTACCTCCAGTAATTTTTATTTCATTCTTGAGAGACAGTGTCTCTATATAGCATTGGCTGTTCTGGAACTCACTGTGTAGATCAGGCCAGCATCAAATGAGGAGATCCTTCTGCCTCCACATACTGACTGCTGGGATTAAAGTGTGTATCACCACACCTGCTTCTCCCAGTAATTTCTCACATGCTCATTTCTGGGGGGGTGGGGGAGCATTTGATAGCATTATACCAATTCAGCAGTTGACACTGTTGGCCACCCACTTAAAAACTTCTTCATTTTCTTGTGCTCTTTCTTGTCTTCTCATTTACTTATCTGTTCACTTTACTGGTAGGTTCTTTATTTTTTATACATTATCTTTTTTTCTTGTTTGTTTTTTGTTATTTGAGACAGGGTTTTTCTGTGTAGCCTTGGTTGTCCTAGACTTTGTAGGCCAGGCTGGCCTTGAACTCATAGAGTACTGCTTCTTCCCTGAGCATTGGTATCACATGCCCAGCTTATACATTATCTTTTGATAGGTTCTTTAAAAAAAATTTTTTTTTATGATTCATTTATTTTTTATTTTATGTGCATTGGCATTTTTCCCCCCATGTATGTCTGTGAGGGTGTCAGAAGCCCTGGAGTTGGAGTTACAGACAGTTATAAGCTGCCATGTGGGTGCTAGGAATTGAACCTGGGTCCTCTGGAAGGACAGTCAGACAGTCAGTGTTCTAAACCACTGAGCCAACTCTCCAGCCCTTGATAGGTTCCTAACTTTGGTATTGAGTGTTTTTTTTTTTTTTTTTTTTTTTTTAGGTGTCTTTTGTTTTATACGTATGAGTGTTTTGTCTGCATGTATATGTCATAACTATGTGTCATACCTGGTGCCAGTGGAGGCCAGAAGTTGTGGACAGCTATGTGGGTGCTGGGAAATGAATTCAGGCCCTTTGGAAAGCAGTAAGATGCTCTTGACCACTGAGCTGCCTCTCTAGCCCTGAATTTTTAAAAACATTTTTTTTAAACTTGATTTTTTTATTTTACTCAATAGTCTTGCTGTGTGGTTGCTGTAGACTTTGAAATCCACCTCTCTTTTGGTAACTCCTAAATGCATGTGTTGCAGCTCCTGTGGACCCCAGACTTGCTTCCTGACTACTTTTTCATTGCCTCTACCAGAATCGTTAATGTGCTCCAATATGACGAGTCAGACTTGGCTCTTGCCCAAATCCTTTTCTCTCTAGCCTTTTGTATGCTAAACTGGCTTATTGCTTAAAATCAGTTCTTGAGTTAGGGACCTTATAGTCTTTCTGAACTTTTCTCACCTTCTGTATGCATTCATTCATCTATGTTGGGACCTGAAAAAACGACGACAAAAAACTTTTTCATTTGGGGCTTTGTTGGTGCTCTCAAGTCCGAATTCTTTGGATAACTATTCTCTGGATCCTGCCATGCCCTGTCTTCTCTGTAGATGTATTCTGAACAGAGAAGCCTGACTCATCTCTCCACAGGACATGCCTGGGCATGTCATTCCTCTACTTAAAAAAACCTTAGTGTCTGTAGAATAAAGATTAACCTTTACTACAGCCGGAAACATTTTTTCTATGTTTAGTCTTAAGAGATACTTCATTTCCTGATTTTGCCACCTTCTACCTGTTTGTCTTTGAGTGTCTTTTCTTTGTGGCTGGAGGTCCTTAACACTCTATTTGAACATTGTCTCTGATAACATTGTTTCCTTCCCAAGGGTGAGTTCCAGCTCTTGTACTTTAGTACCTTCATCTATAAAATGGAGATAAGTCACACCAGCCCTATGAGTGGTTTTGAGGAATACATGAGTTAACATGATAAAATCTTAGAACACTGGGTCGGAGTAAATGTTGTATCTGTAATCTACAGCTCCTCAATCTCAGATCCTGGTGAAATGTCAGCTGCTTTGAGTTTTCTCTGGTTCTCTAAACACAAGGTGTTTCCTTCATTGGGTTCATTTCCCAGACTTCAGCAGATCTTTGTACCTGGCATACATGGCCTCTGTGTCCTCCCTGGCCTTTTTTTGCTCACCAGAGTTATTTGTTGTTCACTATATGCTGGAGCCATACTGAATTACTTTGTTTTCTGAAAATGTACTTTCTCTCTGTAAGAAATTGTATCCAGGAAAAATATACCCCTTTAAGAGCACTTGAAGTATTAAAGCTTTTCCTGACCCTTGCCTTCTTTCTTGGGTCCAAAGGGCTAATTTCTTTGTGTTGTACTATGTTTTCTATGAGCAGGTTCTCACTTACTCACCTAGTGGTGAGGTTAGAACTCACAGCTTCTACCCAGCCCTCAGCATTTAACTTTAAAAAATACATTTAGCTGGGCATGATAGTTCCCATCATTAGTCCCAGTACTAAGGAGGCAAAGGCAGGTACAGGCAGATCTCTATGAGTTTGAGGCCAGCCTGGTCAAAATAGGGAGTTGTTGGACAGTCTGGAACCCAGTCTCAAAACAAAACAAAACTTAACTAACACATTATGTGTGTCTGTGTGCATGAGATATATCACATCCTCTTGAGGTAGAATTAGGGGCAGTTGAGAGCCACCTGATGTGGATGCTGGGAACCTGGAAGTTGAACTTGGGTTCTCTGCAAGAATATGAATTCTGTTGAATCATCTCTCCATCCTTCGCCTCAATTTTCTATATTATATGGTAGCTTTGTGATTTTGGTTGTGCTAGAGATTAAACACAGGGCCTTGTGTATTGCTGAATCAGCATTCTTCTACTGATATACAGCCTCAGCCCGCTTGCAGCAAGACTCTTGACACAGTGAAGATGACAGCAGTTGTATCTGCACATAGTCTGTTCTAATCAGGGCTCACTGAGGCAGCAGTCCCTGACTGTTCTTGTAGTTCTATTTTTTCAGTGTTGGAAATTGAAGACTAGGATATAAGCATACTGCACAAGGAAGGGTTCTGTCACTGAGTCACATAGCCCCAGTCTTTGTTTTGTTCTGTTTTGCTTGGTTTTTGTTTTGTTTTGTTTTTGAGATAGTCTTACCTGTGTAGTGTAGGCTTGTCTCAAACTTCTGAATTTTGGAGTTACAAACAGGTTCCTTATGGCTAATATGCTTTTGTATTAAAAAGCTTAAAATTTTTATTTTTGTGAGTGGGTATGATGTTTGTGCATGGGCATAGAGGCAAGAGGTGTGCAAGTAGAAGACTCAGATTTTTTTTAAAGATTATTTTTGTGTGTATAGGTTTTTTCCTGTGCCTATGTCTGGGTACAGTATACATGCCTGGTGCCTAAAGAAGCCCAGGGAAGGTGTTAGATCCTCTGGAACTGGAGTTACAGATGGTTGTGTATCACTATGTAGATGCTGGGATTTGGTCCTGTGTCTTCTGGAAGAGCAACCAGTGCTCTTGACTGCTGAGCCAGTCACTAGACTTGCTTCTTGTCTTTCATATTTACATGGCTTCTGCTGATCAGACTCAGGTCAGCAAGCTTTTGTTTAGGAGTGCTGGACATCAAATCCAGGATCTCCAACATGGGAGGAAAGATCACTGTCACTGCCCTATACTTGGCCCTTGCCACGTTTTTGTTTTGTTTTATTTAATATGTATGTAATCCAGGTTGATCTGGAATTCATTATGCAGCTCAGGCCTTGAACTAGCAGCCTCTGCTTCCCACATCCTGAGATTTTAGGAGGACATACTACGTCAGCCTCTCGGGCATTTTTTAGTGGTCGGGCATTTTTTAGTGGGGCGTATTTGTTTTCCTGAATTTAAACATGTTATTGATAGGTGATTGATACAAAGTAGATCCTTTTTTTTTTGTAGCATTGGACAGCTTGTGATGTTTTTCTTTGTTTTAACTTAAGGATGACCAGATCATTAACTGGCTGCTGGAATTTCGTTCCTCTGTCATGTACTTGACAAAAGACTTTGAACAACTTATAAACATAATATTGGTAAGTTTACTTATTTTACTGACTAGCATATAGTTTAGTACTTTGAAAGCAGTCCATCTATGTTACATCTTTGTATCATCTTCTCTCATCTCTAGAGATTGCCCTGGTTGAGTAGAAGTCAGACAGTGGTGGAGGAGTATTTGGCTTTTCTTGGTAATCTTGTGTCAGCACAGACTGTCTTCCTTAGACCGTGTCTCAGCATGATTGTTTCTCATTTTGTACCTCGTAAGTAGTTGGTTTTGCTTGTAAAAATGAATTTTCTTCTTCTCACCTTCCTTTTTCGTTTTTGTTTTTTGGAGACAGAGTTTCTCTGTATAGCTTTGGCTGTCCTGGACTTGCTTTGTAGACCAGGCTGGCTTCTAACCACAGAGATATGCCTGTCTCTGCCTCCTGAGTGCTTCCATCACTGCACCTGGCTCTTTCTTCTCCTCTCCCTTTTACCTGCATCCTCTGCCCTTTCCTTCTTTATTCTAAAGACAGTAGTTTGGTGGGCTCACAGATGTGGTCTAAGGTCATGGTGCCACTTCTATTGGCTGCTGCTTTGCTTGCAGAGCCCTGTGCTGGAACAGGTTATCATAGACAGGAAGCCTATGTATGTCGATGTAACTCATTTAATTTTAGTTTTTGGTGTGTATTTGTGTGAATGGGTGTTTTTCTGCATGTATGTATGTGTGCCCTGTGTACAGTGCCCAAAGAAGCTAGAAGAGGGTGTCATATCCCTTGGAACTAGAGTTACAGACAGTTGTGTGCTGCCATGTGGGTGTTGGGAACTGGGTCTTCTGGAAGAGCTAGTGCTCTTGACAATGAAGTGATGCCTAGTGCCTCTCCCCTTTAGAAATATCTATTCATTGTTTATGCCCATGACAGAATATAATAACAAATTTTCTCTTTTCTTCAAAGCCCGAGTGATTGTTAAGGAAGGTGGCGTAGATGTTTCAGATTCTGATGATGAAGATGACAGTAAGTATAAAAAGAAATGGTAAAGCAGTGGACATTCCCTTGTAAGACAAGGGAGAATGTCTGAAATGATAAAAACGTCTCAACCACTTATTCTTCTAAGGAGAAAACAACAAATGACAGCTTTTGATAGAATCTTTTTTTTTTTTTTTTTGAGAGGGAGGGTCTCACTATGTAGCCCTGGCTGTCTTGAAATTCAGTATGTAGGGCTGGAGAGATAGCTCAGTGGTTAAGAGCACTGCCTGCTCTATCAGAGGTCCTGAGTTCAATTCCTAGCAACCACATAGTGGGTCACAACCATCCATACTGAGATCTGATGCCCTCTTCTGGCTTTCAGGTATATATCTAGAGATATATGGATATCTCTTGCTGTTTATGGAAGAATCTGTGCAGGTGTGACATAATTAATCTTTTTTTCCTTTTCTGGTTTTTGGAGACAGGGTTTCTCTGTGTAGCTGTCTACATAGTGAACTCAGATCTGTCTGCCTCTGCTTCCACAGTTCTGGGATTAAAGGCATGTGCCACCACTGCCTGGCTTTAATCCTCATTATTGATTGAGGAGACAAACCTTTCAATTCTTATTTCTCTGGCCAGTTACTGGTTTTGGTTAGAAAGTATTTTTAGCTTCAGGAACATGATTTTGTAGTTTTTGATGTTCATACTTAAGTTTTTTCTTGTAGATCTTCCTGCAAATTTTGACACATGTCACAGAGCCTTGCAAATAATATCAAGATATGTCCCATCGTGAGTATTCTTTGATTGACTTTGAATTATTGTGTTTATTTTAACAGGTTGGGGGTTAGTTCTAGTGGGTCACCTGCCTGTAATGTATGCATATATCTCTGGAAGGAAGAGAGAAGAATATAATAGCATTAAAACCTGGGTTATATGCTATTTTCAATTATGTTGATAATACATGTTGAAAATGCTGTTTCTGTTTCCTTTATGTTATGATTGTTATTTTAATTTACATTGTTTTATTTAAAAATTTAATTTGTGTGTGGGTGTAGACACAGGAGTTCTGTGTGGTATGGTGCAGGTCAGAAGACATCTATCAGAGTAGGTTCTGTTTGACCACCTTGTAGCTAGAGCTGAAACTCAGATGCCAGGTCTGAGGGCAAATGTCTCTCCCTCCAAGTCATCTCATTCCATAACTGTTTAACTTATACTTAACTTACACATAGTACTCCCACCTCTGTTTTGGGATTTTGCTTCATCAGATATTCAGATACTTTTACTGAGAACCTGGATGAACACTTGCACTGTGCCATATGATAAAATGCAGTTATAAAAAGCTTGGCAGGTTTGTGGGTTTCTTTTGGCTGTGTTACTTTCTTTTCTTTCCTTTCCTTTTCTTTTCTTCTTTCTTTCTTTCTTTCTTTCTTTCTTTCTTTCTTTCTTTCTTTCTTTCTTTCTTTCTCCTTCCTTCCTTCCCTCCCTCCCTCCCTCCCTTTTGTTTGGGGGGGGGTTGGGGGACAGGGTTTCTCTGTAGAGCCTTGCCTGTCCTGGAACTCTCTCTGTAGACCAGGCTGGCCTTGAACTCACAGAGATCCACCTGCCTCTGCCTCCCCGAGCGCTGGCATTAAAGGTGGGTGCCGCTGCCACCACCACCGCCCAGCTTAAAAATTTACCTAGTCTTTTTTTTTTTTTTTTTAAGATTTATATGTGTATTTTCTATATATGAGTGCTTTCTCTTCATACTCAGTAGAAGGAATCAGCTCCCATTACAGATGGTTGTGAGCCACTATGTGGTTGCTGTGAATTGATCTCAAGATCTCTGGAAGTGTACTTAAGTGCTTTTAACTGCTGAGCCATCTCTCCAGCCCCAGTCTTACTTTGTTAACTACAAATGGGAAGCTGGGGATGGGCTACTGCCTATGTTGGGAAGGTGGAGACTGAGGTTCAGGCATTCAGAGTCATTTTTGGCTACACACAGTTTGATGTTAGCTTGGGCTACATGAGACCTCTCCTTAATTAAAAAAAAAAAAAATCTCAAGTTAATGATACTTTGCCTCTTTAATATACTTATGTACTGATACACATTTTAAATTTAAACTGAAGCGGTTAATCTTTGGAAGAAAAGCTTGTCTTTTGACTTGCTGTTACTAACAAAGTTAATAAAGCATATTTTTAGGTAAGTTGTTTAAGATCTTTTTCTGACACTCCCTTGATTTGGGCTTTGATTGCTTGAGGTAGAGTTCTCTTTTGCCTCTTATGTCCTTATTGTTCTTAGGATGCAGATGTCAGCTTCTTAGAAAGTCCAGTTAACATTTTTTTTTTTTTTTTTAAACAGGACACCATGGTTTCTAATGCCGATATTGGTAGACAAATTTCCATTTGTGAGAAAATCAGAGAGAACTTTGGTAAGAAATTTTTTATAAAATGATTGTTTTGTGACTTTACGTTAGTTATTATTATTATTGTTATTTCTTAAAAATAACTTTCTAGATTTTTAAACTCAAGACTCCATTTCACTGAGTGTTGTGGTAATCCTGGTTAAACAAGGGGACTACTGCAAATTATTGAGGTCAGCCTAAGCTATAGTGTGAGACCCTATCCTCCAAGGAGAGGACTAAGAACATTCCTTATATTCTTTTCTTTTTGTTATATTTTCTTGAAACATGGTCTTAATCTGTAGTCTAGGCTGGCCTCAAGGCCTCTAAGTGCTGGGATTATGGTGTGAACCACTGTATGTAGTATCTACTTTCTTAGCTAGTAACTCTTTGCAATTCTCAGTGCCATTTTATTACTGTGTGCAGGTCATGGATCAGAATCCATTTCAGAAATAACTTTTGTGTTGATACTTATATAAACAAGAATTACCAGGGAGGCTGCAGATGGAGTTCCATGGCAGGGGGCTTGCTTAGCATGTATAAGGTCCTGGGTTTGATCCCCAGTACCACAAATGAATAAATAGAAGAAATAAAAAGAAAAAAAGGTTACCAGAAGTTAATAGTAGGAGGTTTTTTTTTTTTTTTTTTGGTTTTCCAGACAGCCCTGTCTGTTCTGGACTGTCTTTGGAGAGGAGCGCTGGCATTAAAGGCGCGCGCCACTGAGCCCAGCCAAGTAGAAACATTTCATTTCCTGGGGGTGATTAGATTAGTCATACTCAACATATGTAGATTTGAAGAGTGCAGTTTCTGTACTCATAGTCTCTTTTCTATTTATTTGAAGTAAAAGTTACATAATTGATGTTCTGCAACACTGTGCTGAATTACTCATCTTTTCATATCTTATGCTTTAGGAATGTTATGTTCATAACTTACTAAGGATAAGTTTATATTTCCCAACTTTGAGGCGTGAAATTCTGGAGCTTGTTATTGAAAAGTTATTGAAGTTAGATGTAAGTATCAAATCACCTATAGTTTTTCTCTGTTTTTATTTATGGAGTTTTATGACTGCATTTTTCTTATGTTTGAAACAGCAGCAACAGTGGAAAACAGTCCAGTTCTTTGCTTTATTCTAGTCATTCTAGTTATACCTCCCTCCCTCTCTTTCTCTCTCTCTCTCTCTTGCGCTTTTCAAAACAGGTTTCCTTGTGTAGACTTGGCTCTCCTGGACTCGATTTGTAGACCAGGCTGGCCCCAAACTCATACCATGCACTTGCCTCTGCCTCTGTCAGTGCTGGGATTATAGCTGTGAGCCATCCAGCCTGGCTTGAGTCATACTTCTTGAACTTAATCTATTTTCTGAGAATTGTCTAATGGTTAGGGACAGTGCATATACAGTCATACAAACACACAGGTGCATTGTGGAAAGTGTTGTGAGCTAGATTGCCTGTTGGGACTGTATGGTATGGTATGAGGAACGCCTACAATGAATGTTAAAATTGGATCCTGCGTCCATTTATTTTTTAAAATTGTTACTTATGCATAATTTTAGGGTGAAGAGGTTAAGTTTTGTTTTGTTTAAATAAAGAGGAAGGAGGCTGTGTAAGATAAATGTTCCAGTTTGGACAGATTTAGTTTCAGGTAGGCGCTAGTTGGAGAGTACTTACTGTGGTGGTTTGAATAGGTATGGCCCCATAGACTCGTGTTCGAGTGTTAGGCCCATATGGAGTGACACTATTAGAAGGCGTGGGCTTTCCCTGCACGTTGGCCCAAGCCTATAATCCCAGCACTTGGGAGGCAGAGGCAGGTGGATCTTTGTGAGTTCAAGGCCAGCCTGCTCTACAAAGCCAATCCAGGACATCCAGGGCAACACAACCCTGTCTCAAACCAAAAAGAAAAAAAAAAAAAAAGATGTGGCCTTGTTGGATGAAGTGCTGCACTGTGCAGATGGGGCTTTGAGGTCTCCTATGCCCAAGCTTTGCTGCTTTTCCATCAACATGTAGAACTCTCAGCCCCTTCTCCAGCACCATGTCTGCCTGGATGCTGCCATGCTTCCTGCCATTATGCTAATGGACTAAACCTCTGAAACTAGGCTAGCCCCAATTAAAAATGTTCTTCTTTATAAGAGTTGCTGTGGTCATGGTGGCTCTTCAGAGTAATAAAACCCTAAGTGATTGAAACTAAGATCAACTGTCTATAGCTGGGGATCTAAGAACAGGCTTGTGAAACAATGCAGTGAGCACAGGGGAGTAGGAGTGGTCAGAAGAGAAAGCAAACTGAACCTGTGAATGTTGGGAGGATCTGGAAGAAGAGAGTATGGTCAGTACCATCAAGGATGAGCAAAGCCAAAGTGCTTGGATTTTGGCTGTGAAGATGGCTCAGCGAGTAAAGTGCTTATGAAAACTTCCAGTACATGTGGTGGCCTGCCTATAGCTCTCTTGCTTGGAAAACAAAAATAGGGTCTCCAAAGCCAGCTGCTTAGCTAGACTAGTCTTGCCTGCAAACTCTAGGTTCTGGAAGAACCAGCCTTAGTGAATAAGGTTGAAAGCAATTCAGGAAAACTTCTGATAATAACATTGGACCTCCTCCCATAAACATGTCTATAAATGTGAGGTCGCATACATGCAAACATGCACATGTATATAGATAACACATTGGGGGCTAGAAGATGGTTTAGTGGTTGTCTGTAACTCCTATTCCAGGGGATCTGACAGCTTCACAGAGATGTACATGTAGTCAAAACACCAATGCACATTTTAAAAAAATGTTACATAACACACAAATTTTATTTTATGGCTATTTATTCATTTGTTCATTCATTCATTCATTCATTCAGTGTGCCTATGAGTGAAAAAGAGCAAATGCTCTTAACAGCTGAGCCATTTCTCCAGTTCCTGAATTTTAGTTATTGAGACAGGGTCTCGTAGTGTAGCCAGGTTGGCCTTGGATTGGCCCTGCCACATCCTGCAATTTCGAGCTTTTCTTTTTCTTTGTTTTATTGATTGCTTATTTCTTTTTTCCTGAAGGGTTTTCTGTAGCTCCAGGTGTCCTTGCAATATAGATCCTCTTGTCTCAATCTCCTGAGTGTTGGGATTACTATTATGTGCTGACATAAACACTGTACAGGGAGCAGGGAACAGGGAGATGGAAAGAAGTAGATCTCAGAAGAGTTGTAAGTTGTGTATGCTGATACTGTTTTCTTAGGATTACACTTCTGGCTAGGTGCATATATAAGCCCTGTTAATTCTCTATCAGAGACAGGGTTTCTCTGTATAGGACTGGCTTTGTAGACCTCATAGTGATCTACCTGCCTCTGCCTCCCTAGCCCTGGGATTAAAGGCAGGCTCCACCTCGCCCAGCTAAGTCTCTTATATTCTTAAGGAGTAGTTTAAAGTATGTCTGCAAAGATATGCATAGACATGTGCATAGATATGTGACCACATATCTTTGACGTTATGACATGTATGTGTTTGTGTCTTGGTCTTTGAAAGACGTGGAATGAATGCCATTGCTTTGAGGCTGATGAGTGTCACAACACACCTACCTGTGTTAGGTACACTGGTGAAGGACTTGCCCCTTAAAATCTTTCAATTTCTCTGTGTGGTAGTTTGCACCAATATTTTGTTGCGTGCTTTATAAGATGCTGATGGAGCTTTTTATAATATACACAATAAGCTGGTTGAGTTGGAGCACACCTTTAATCCCAGAACTCAGGAGGCAGAGGCATCTTTGAATTTTAGACCAGCCTGGTGTACACAGTGAGTTCAGGACCTCCTGAGCTATGTAGAAAGACTCTCTCTTGAAAAACAAACAGCATTATATATATATATATATATATATATATATATATATATATATATATATGGATTAATTATCAGCTATAGATATCTCTCATTTATTTTTGTGATGTAGGTGAGTGTTTCCCGGCAGGATATTGAAGATGCTGAAGAGACTGAAGCTCAGACTTGTGATGGGACAGATACCACAGAAGGATTGTTTGATATGGTCAGCATCTCTGTTTGACATTGATGGTTAAACCTCTTTGTTTTAATCTTGTATTTTGATTCTTGTCCTTATTGCTAGCATTTCTTTTAACAAAAGCATACATTGGAGGTTTATCATGTCAAAGTGTAGAAAGACAGCTAATGGTTTAGCTTTTTAAAGCTTTCTGTTAAAACAGAATATTGGAGGGGCTGGAAGGATAGCTGTGCTTGTGGAGTGCTTGCCTTGTACATATAAGGACCTGCGTTTTGCTCCCTAGAACCCAGCACTAGTGTAGTAGTTGTTGGGGGTAGTGATATGTGCTCAAAATTCCAGCACTAGTGAGACACAGGCAAGAGACCTCTGGCACAGTAGTTGACCAGTCTAGGATAATTGGTGAGCTCTAGGTTAGTGAGAGACCTCCCCATAAATGGTTTCTATCCAAGGCTTTAAGTTTGGTTTTGTTGAAATTTTTTTCACTTTAATTCATAAAAAGTTTTTCATTGTTTCTGAAAGCCACAAGCATCTGTGAGAAAACAGTAAGCAGAAAGTATCCCAGTTTAGTTTCTATTTTTAAAAAATACATAATTTATTTTATTTTCTGTTCATTGGTGTTTTGCCTACATGTGTACCTGTGTGAGGGTGTCAGAAGCCCTGGACTGCAGTATAGACAGGTGTGGGATGCCATGTGGAATTGAACGTTTGTCCTCTGGAAGAACAACTGGTGATCTTTAACAGCTGAGTCATCTCTGCAGAGCCTAGTTTCTGTGTTTTCTCAATTACAGACCTTAAAATAGTCACTCTGCAATTTAGTTGTGTGACTTGGAGTTCTGCAGACCAGAGTTTGAGCTGAACTGAGGTACTCTTGAGGCCAGGCATCAGGGAACAAGAAAGCTAAGTGAGAGCCTGTTATCTGGGATATGGCAGGAAGTAGTATACATGTGTGTCTTGGGGAACATGTGGCTAGAGGACAATTTTCCAGAGTCCGTTGTCTTCTACCATGTAGACTCTGGAGATCACTAGGATGGGCAGAATTCTCACTGAGAATTCTTACGGCTCTGTGCCTTTCTGGACTCTGACATTGGTACTGAGGTTGTGACTGGAAAGCTGTTCTCGGGAGACAACACAATAGCTTTAAGATGCATGCCCAGGCCTGGGAAAGGTGACTTAGCCCCAGCACTGTAGTTGCAGTAGTCACCAAGATCAGGGATGGGAATGTATTGTTGGCATGTTCTATTTAGGTCTTACCAAGAGTCAGGGCTGTGGATACAGCTTAGTGTTAGCACACAAGCTTAGTGTGCACAAGGGTCCAGTCCTAGTGCCCTTCCTCTCTGACCAACCCCATCTGCCAAGCCCCCAAAAAATAAAAGGAAAAAAAAAGAATCAGATTGGTGTTTATTTAAAATTCGAGATGTGACTTTAATCCGTATTTTAAATGAGAGTCTGGGACAGTGTCTGCATTTTCTCTTTTCTTTTGGGAGAAATAATAGCCTATGTAAGTTTCCTCAAACACTAAAGACTTTGTAATGTCAGTTTTCATTTCCTCAAAGGATGAAGATGAGGACCCTGAACCTGAAAAGAAAGCTGACCTGGAGCAGCCTAGCCAGATGGCTCATCCCACCGCAGAGCGCTTGGACATCCTGTTCTCCTTGCTGCTGTCCTACATTGAGGATGTCTGCCGTGTGGATGGTTGGTCATTAGCCTGAGAATGAGATAAGAAAGGGTCAGACAGATCAAATTCCATGCCAGTGTCATATGGTTTGAAAAGGGAGGAAGTGGCATTAAGACTGCAGTATTTGTAGTAGACTTCAAAGCCTATGATGTTTTCACTGTTGTTTAATAAAGGGTATTAGATGGAGTCTGGACAACTTTAGAAGAAGAGATCACTTGTATTTTAGATGCTCAAGAAGTTTAATAACTGTGCTGGCTATCTTAGGATAGCTCCTGAGTTCTGTAGTTCCTTGAGCCTTTGCTAGGTGTCTTCATTATGCCCATTGTCATTTCTTTAACTTTACTGAGCAAACTAATCCTTAGAAAACAGCCTGGAGGTTGCATGTCTATGCACTGTGCTGTGCTTTAAGAATGAGTTTATTAGCTGGGTGTGGTGGCCCATGCCTTAAATCACAGCACTTGGGAGGTAGAGGCAGGATGAGCATGAGTTCAAAATCAGCCTTTGCTATATAGTGAATTGTAGGCCAGCTTGGGGTACATGAGACCCTGTCTCAAAAAAACAAGAAAGATCATTTTTTTGGCTTCACAGAAGAGTGTGAAGTAAGTAAGGGCTTACTTCCTTGTCACTATGGGATTACACTGAATAATGTAAAATCTGGAGCCACTGAGATGACTCAGGATTGAAAACTGCCTGCTGCCTGCTGCAAAAGCCCAAAGTGGTACCTAGGACCTGTGTTGAGAAGGTGTGTACACATATACACATACATGAACACGGAACTCAAAGTCAGCAATGTTAATATTGTCCTAACTATAGCTAATGGATAATGCTGGGGCTTTTTTTTTTTTTTAATATTTATTTATTTGTATGTATATATCTGTATATATACATAATGTATATATATCTGCATGCCAGTAGAGGGCATCAGATCACATTATAGATGGTTGTGAGCTACGATATACTTTCTGGGAATTGAACTCAGGACCTCTGGAAGAACAGACAGTGCTCTTAATCCCTGAGCCATCTCTCCAGCCACCTAGGGGTTTGGTTTTGCTTTTCTGTCTTTTCTTCCCTTTTTGTGCTGGAGCCTTATGAATGTACAGCCTTTCTCCAAGAAACTGTAGACCAAGTCAGATTCGAACTCAACCTCTGTTGAGTTTGCCTGCCTCTGTCTCCTGAGTGCTGGGGTTAAAGGTGTAGACCACCACGCCCAGATCAAATGCTGATTTTCAAAAATAATTTAATTTTATTTTATGTGCATTGGTGTGAAGGTGTCAGAATACCTGGAACTAGAGTTACATATAGTTGTGAGCTGTCATATGAGTGATAGGAGTTGAACCCAGGTCCTTTGGAAGAGTATTCAGTACTCTTAACCACTGACCCATCTTTCTAGCCCTAAATGCTGTATTGTATTTCTTTCTTTCTTTCTTTTTTTTTTTTTTTTTTGTGGTGGGCGTGTTTTCTGAGACAGGTTTTCTCTGTGTAGCCTAGGCTGGCCTTGAACTCACAGAGATCCACCTGCCTCTGCCTCCTAAGTGCTGGGATTACAGGCGTGTGTCATGGCCACTGGCTTGGTGTTATGTTTCTTTAAAAGTATGTATTTATGAAATTAAAATTTGAATTTTCTTTGTAGGTAAGATTGATAACAATAAAACAAAGGATTTATACCGTGATCTGATATCCATCTTTGACAAACTCCTATTGCCCACACATGCTTCTTGCCATGTACAATTCTTCATGTTTTTCCTTTGCAGCTTCAAATTGGTAAGTAAAATAGCATTGCCATGTTGGTTTATTGATTGATTGTTTGATTGATTAGTTGATTGATTTATAAGGTCATACTGTGTAACTCTGGCCAGCCTGGAAATCAGATCTGCCTGCCTTTATCACATAAGTACTGGGATTAGAGGCATGTGCCACCAGGCCCAGCTAAAAATTTATTATTTTTTGAAAATTATGTGTACCTGTGCATGTTTGTGTGGATATGTGTGTGTATGAGCACTGATGTTCACAATATTTAGAAGATGTTGGATTTCCTGTAGTTGAAGTTGGTTCTCTGGAGCAGTATGAGCTCCAAATCTTCAGCCTATCTCTCTAGCCCCTATGTTACTATTTTATTCCTTATTTTTCCCCTTAAAACCGTGGAAGATTCTGAGGTAACTACTGCACATAGACACACTGAAGGTGTTGTCCTGTCTTTAGTCATTAGGTGGTGCCCTTCTCCTTCCTTCTGGTGACACTAGGGCTCAAATCCATACTTTCTTTTTAAATTAATTAACTTACTTTTCATCCTGATCATATCCTTCTTCCTCTTCTTCTCTAGGTCCCACCCTCTCTCCTCTCCCATCCCTCCTTGCCTATTCCTCAGAAAAGGGGAGCCTCCTCCTGCCCCAGTTCATCAAGATTGAGCTCGTTCTCTTTCCCTGAATCCTGGCCAGGCAGTCCAGCCAACAGGGAGTGATCAAAAAGCAGGCAACAAAGTCCATGTCAATGTCAACCCCTTATTAGAGGACCCACATGAACCCTGAGCTGTCCATTTGCTACATCTGTGTAGGGGGCTGAGGTCCGTCTATGCATGGTCCTTTCAAGTCTAATTTTCTTTGTTCATCTGTTGATGATATGTAGGCTGTTTCTAGCTCTGGCTCTTGTGAATAGAACAGCAGTGAACTTGGGAGAACAAGTGTCTCTGTAGTAGGATGCAGAGTCCTTTTGGGTATGTGCCCAAGAGTGGTATAGCTGGATCTTGAGATGGATGTATTACCAGCTTCCTGAGGAACCACCATACTGATTTCCAAAGAGGCTGTAAAGTTTGTACTTTCCTAGCAATGGATGAGTATTTCCCTTTCCTTATATCGTTTCCAGCATTAGATGTGATTTGTGTTATTGACAGCCTGACTGGTGTAAGATGGAATATCAGAGTAGTTTTGATTTGCATTTCCTTGATGGCTAAGGATGTTGAACGTTTCTTTAAGTGTTTCTTAGCCATTTGTGTTTCATCTTTTGAGAATTCCATTTAATTATGTGCCTGTTAGGTTGTTTTCTTGATGTTCAGGTTTTTGTTTTGTTTTGTTTGTTTTTGTTTTGTTCTTTATAATACTTAATATATTAACCCTTTCTTAGGTGTGTAATTGGTAAAGGTCTTTTCCCACTCTGTAACCTGCCACTTTGTCTGAATGACAGTGTCGTTTGCTGTACAGAAGCTTTTCAATTCCATGAAGTCCCATTTATTGTTATTCCTAGTGCCTGTTCTATCAGTGTTAAGCTCAGAAAGTCTTCTCCTGTGCCAATGAGTCAAAGACTATTCCCCACCTTCTCTTCTTTTGTGTTTAGGGTTTCTGGTAGTATGTTGAGGTCTTTTATTCATTTGTAGTTGAGTTTTATGCAGGGTGATTAGTAGGGATCTATTTATATTTTTCTGCATGCAGCCATCCAGTTTTACTTGACCAGCACAATTTGTTGAAGATGCTCTTTTTTTCCAGTGTCAAAAATCAGGTGTCCATAGGTATGTGGAGTAATGTCTGGGTCTTCTTTTTGATTCCCTTGATAAACATTTCTGTTTCTTTGCTGATACCATGCAGTTTTTATTACTATAGCAGTGTAGAAGTCCCTAAGATGGGAGATACTGATTCCTCCTGCAGTTCTTACATTATTCAGGGTTGTTTTAGCTATCTTTGTGTGTGTGTGTTTTCATATGAAGCTGAATGTTGTCCTTTCAAGTTCTGTAGAGAATTGTGTTAGAATTTTAATGGAGATTGTGTTGAATCTGTAGATTGCTTTTTGTAGGATTGCCATTTTCATTAATTCTACTAGAACCTGGGGCATCTTTTCATCTTCTGGTATTTTCTTCAGTGTCTTAAAGGTTTTTTCTTTTTTTCCAAGACAAGGTTTCTTTGTGTAGCCTTGGCTGTACTGGACTTTTTTTTTAATATATGTGAAGGAGGTTTATTAGATGGAGATGGAGAGAGAAAGAGAGAGAGAGAGAGAGAGAGAAAGGAGAGAGCAGGACATGATGGGGGAAAGAGAGAGGGGTGTTCTGACAGAGAAAGAGGAGAGGGCAGGGAGGCAAGAGGGAGCAAGAGAAGAGGAGCAAAAGAAGAATAGTTGTAAGCCACCATGTGATTGCAGGGAATTGAACTCAGGACCTTTGAAAGAACAGTCAGTGCTCTTAACCTCTGAGCTATCTCCCCAGCCCCTGGACTTATTTTGTAGATCAGACTTGCCTCAAACTCTCAGGAGATCCACCTGCCTCTGCTCCCCAAGTGCTGTGCCATTGTGCCCAGCCTAAAGTTTTTTTTTAATGGAAGTTTTTCACTTGCTTGGTTAAACTTATCCCCATTTTTTTTTTTTTTCTGGAATTAAAGGGGTACACCACCAATACTGAGCTTTTTTTTCTACTTTCATGTCTTGAACTGTTTTCATTATTTCATTTTACTGTTTTTTTTTTTTAAGACTTCCCTTAGGGATTTATTAATATCATTTTTGAACATATTCAGAATTGCTGTTTTGAAGTCCTTGTCTTGTGCTTGAGCAGTGTTGCATTTTTCAGGACCTGCTTTAGTAAGGGTTACTAGGTTCTGGTGGAGTCATGCTATCTTGGTTGTTGATGGCTTATGTTTTTGCACTGCTTTTAAGGCACCTGGGGTTTGGAATGATTGAGGTGATTCTTGGTGTTGATATCTGGTCTTATCTTTGAGTGGGTGTTCTGTTCCTTGGCTTATGTTGCCCTCTCTGGATCTTAGGGAAGTGATGGCTGTGGATTTCCCGATAGTGAATTCTTCTGGCATGGCAGAAGGGAAGGATATAGCCAGGAGAAAAGACTGAGGGGGCTTCAGGAAAGGCCTAAGGTGGTCCTGTTCATACCTAGAGGTGGTGTCCACAGGCAGTTAAGAGTAGTGGGATCAGGGCATCCTGGAGATAGGTCATCAAGTCACAGAATTGAAGAGCGACAGGGATGAAAGGGCAAAGGGGGACTCTGGGTCTGAACTAAGAGTTGGAGGGAGGAGTGCCCCCTGTAGGTAGGCTGCTACAGGGCTGAGGATGAGCTTGGAGAGATTGTAGTAGAGTATAAGAAGGAGAACGGAAATAGCCTATCTTGAATCTCAACGCAGTGTGGCCACTGTGTTCCCAGGTAGAGAATGTTTCTAGGTGTCGGTGACTAACAGATATGGGGTGAAGGGGCCTGTTCAGTTTTTGCTTTTAAGTAAGAACAATGACCCGCTATTCCTTGTTTAGCAATGTAACTACATTGTTAGGGAAAACCTTCAGGGTGCTGACAGCCAGAATATAGTCTTCAGCATTAGAAAGATCAAACCAGCAGCCTCTCTTGTTACAGGGATTTGCAGAAGCATTTTTGGAACATCTCTGGAAAAAGTTGCAGGATCCAAATAACCCTGCCATCATCAGGCAAGCTGCTTCAAATTACATTGGGAGCTTTTTGGCAAGAGCTAAATATGTTCCTCTTATGTAAGTAAACTAATTTTCTAAATGCTTTTTAATGTTTGACTTTAAGAAGATTATAGTACTGTCTTAAGCTAAAGAAATAGGTCTTATATCATTGATCTGTCTTTGTAAAGCAATGGGGAAGTCTGTTCACGGCCATGCAAGATGTTATTTCTAAGAAGCAGGCTGAGGAGAGATCTTCATCTTGGAAACAGAAGAAGGGTACATGAGGCTTTCAGCATTTGTTCATGTGTTGGACTGGAAAGCCTGGCTATGGACAGCATGGTGTTGTGTATTAGTTTGGTTCTTTTTGTAGGTTTGTCCTTTTTCATTTGTTTTCTGAGTCAGTTGTGTCTGTATGACCTGAAGAAAACCTTTTTTAAGTTAATTAGGGGTGGGATGAAGCTCACTGGTAAAGCACATTTGGCACATGCAAAACCCCAGCATTAAAACTTAGAGGTGATGCAGGGTATCTGTAGGAGGCCAGTTTCTTCTTCAGTGAAAGACAGCCATTATAGAAGGCTCAAATACTACCCATTGGCTGCTTAACATGCATGAGGTCCTGGGTTTCATCCCATCACAAACAAACAACCACCACCACCAACAACAAAAAACAACTCACCAAAAACCTTACCTTCTAATTTTTGTTGTGGTTCTTTTCTTTGTTTTCAAGACAGGGTTTCTCTGTGTAGCCTTGGCTAGCCTGGAACTTACTCTGTAGACAAGGCTGGCCTGGAATTCAAAGAGATCTGCTTTCCTCTGCCTCTCAAGTGCTGGGATTAAAGGCATATGCCACCATGCATGGCTGACAAATATGTGTTTCTGTCTCTAGCTTTCTGACAAAGCTAATGACCCTGACTTTTCTCTTTGCAGCACTGTAAAGTCATGCCTGGATCTTTTGGTTAACTGGCTGCACATGTACCTTGATAACCAGGATTCAGGAGCAAAGGCTTTCTGTGACGTTGCACTTCATGGACCATTTTATTCAGCCTGCCAAGCTGTGTTCTATATTTTTGTTTTTAGACACAAGCAACTTTTGAGTGGCAACTTGAAGGAAGGTTAGTAGTGTGGATTCAGACTGGGTTTTCTTACAGACTTACACATTGAGGACAGTGCTGCTTCCTTGCATTTGTCAGCTTTCACTGACCTGTGCAGATGTTGTAGCTGGACATGGGATCTGAGGACCTGAAAGAATGGGATGGACTACAGTTTCATGATTACTTACAGCCTTACTTTAGTTTCAGTGTACTTTTATATATGAATGTAACAAGGAGAGCGATGATCCAAGAAAGGTTGCTTGAATTCAGAAAAACACGATGAGAAACATGTAAATAAACACCAGTAAGCACATACTAAATATTAACAGAGCAGCCCTTTCAAATTTTCTCAGGACAGACCATTTTAAAATTGCCTGGCATGTACCATAGATTATATTTGGGAAAGCAAGGCAGAAGGCCATATCCAGATTCAGGGTGCACAGATTCAGGGTTCTTTAGCTGTGTCCAACAATAATAAACTTGTCTTATAAATTGAATGTAAATGTTTGTCACAGGGGCAAAATATCACATGAATGATCCAGGGAATAAAATGCACCTGAGTTAAAAGGCCTTCTGGCTCTTTTCCTGGAGCCTCTCATAGTTCCCCAGGCCATTGTTCACCAAGGCATTCTTTTGAGCCGGTTCTGATAGCACTGATGCTTATTTTTAAATGTGTGAGGGTGTTGTAATGGGGGAGGGGGACACCACAAATACAGCTGTGACATCATGGGCCTGGAATGGAGAGTAATGGTAGACAGACAAAAGGCTCTGGGTTCCCTTCAAGAATGAAGAATTTTTATTTTCCCCCACTGCTGTGTATGTATTGTTTAGCTAGCTACTAGAAAGAGCACTGCAGTTACAGCTTGGACAAACAGGATCTTTGATTCCCTTATGTGAGTTCTTCTACACTTCCCTGCCCTTGTGACCTTGTTTTGCCCCAAGGAGGACATTCCTTCTAGGCCAGTGGTTCTCAACCTTCATAACGCTGTGACCCTTTAATACAGTTTCTCATATTGTGCTGACCCCCAACCATAAATTTATTTTTGTTGGTACCTCATAACTGTAATTTTGCTACTGTTATGAATCATAAAGTAAATATCTTTGTTTTCTGATGGTCTTGGGTGATCCCTGTGAAAGGGTTGTTCAACACCCCCACAATGGGGTCATGACCCATAGGTGGAGAACTACTGTCCTAGGCTGTATCTCATGCCTGTAGTTTTCTGAGGTCACAGGGTCACATCTGAGTCAGGGGTTGTGCCTGGACCCCACAGAGGTGTGAGTATCTGTGTGAATATGTGTGTGAGTCCTTGGACTCCCAATGATTCTCTTGCCAGCCTTCCAGTGGCTGAGATTACAGGTGTGTGCCATACCTGGCTTTGTTTATGTTGAGTTTTAAATATATATATACATATACACATATATGCAACCAGTATGTATTGTATATAATATATTATTTATAATAAATCATTACTATGTAGTAGATTTATTAGTTTTATTTTATGTCTATGAATGTTTGCCTGCATGTATGTCGGTACATCATGTGTGTGCCTGGTACCCATGGAATTCAGGATTGGGCATCAGATCTTCTGGAATTGGAGCCACAGACAATTGTGAGCTTTGAACTGAGTCTTGGTCCTCTGCAAGAGCAGTAAGTGCTCATAACCACTGGTCCATTTCTCCAGCCCCTATGTAATTTTAAATTAAGGCATATATCAAATTCCTAAGAGAACAAAGTTGGTCTGTTTGCTTCAAAATAAAAAATGTATTTTATTAAAAATTTTTTTTTTTGAGGTGTTTTGACCATGCAGCTCGGGTTGGCTTCTATTTGTAATCTTTTTTTCCTCAGCCTGAGCTAGGATTCCATTGTAGGAAGAATTCACTAGCTCCAAGAGAGGTTTGTATTGGGATGACTGAGGGGGAGAGGGAGAAAATACCAACAGTCACATGTACCTGAGAATGGTGCTTGGCTGCACTGGTAAGACACACAAGCTGGACTGAGTCTGTTGCTGGCTGCCAGGAATTCAGCTTCCGTGGTCTCTCTACTCTGTGCACTTATTCTGCTCTGAGCTTATAGACACTGATTCCAGGTTGCCATGTAATCCTTCACCCAATAGGAATGATTGTTTTATTTGTTTGTTTGTTTTTTCTTCTTCAGAAAAGCTGCACTGGCTGCCAGCAGTTGGCTTGAACTTTATTCCTGTATAGAAATACAGTAACTTCTTGATAATGTCTTTACTTTGGGGCTCAAGCCCATCATAAGCACATGTTCTATTCTACCATAGAGCCCTTAAATTGGTTTTTGAATATGTAATAATTCGGTCTTTTAAAGATAGCTTAACTCCTCCCTCCCTTTTTTTAATCCAAGGTCTACGGTATCTTCAGAGTTTAAACTTTGAGCGTATTGTGCTGAGCCAGCTAAACCCTCTGAAGATCTGCCTGCCATCAGTGGTTAATTTTTTTGCTGCTGTCACTAAGTGAGTCATTTGCGTTTTCCTTTATGCATATTTAAAAAGTCAAGGGGTGGAACTGTCGTGCTGGATGCCATGCGCTCTGGCACTGAGAGTAAATTCCAGTTCAATGTTCTTCTTGCATTCCGTCCATCTCTTTTATTCTTCAGGGACACTGGGATTCAGTCCTGCTTTTACCCAGAGCTGCTCAGGTGCTCTGAGATACCTGATAGGCAAACTGATGAGCTGAGAGATCCTTAGATCCACAGATCTTTAGTCCAGGGAAACACATATTACTAACAGAGCAAACTGGAGGAGAGCTTTATAGTTAAAGTTTAGGATAACTGAGTGTGGTGCTCCAGAAGCACTTGGCAAGAGTAAAAAGTTTCAGAATGCACAACAACAAAACAATGAATTCAGACTCAGGAGGCACAGGCAAGCAGATCTCTGTGAGTTCGAGGCCAGCCTGGTGTACAGAGCAAGTCCCAGGGTTGTTACACAGAGAAACCCTTTCTCAGAAAAGAATATGAGATGTTCCAGAAAGTGCCTGGCAAATCACTGCAGTTAGATTCTGAACACAGAGCTCTGCACTGCCTCGACACTGGCTCAGACTTACAGCATGAGTCAGTGTTTCTACTGTATGTGCAAATTTTCTCCTCTTACAGAAATATAATGGATTAAGTATGTAAAGCAAAGGTTTCTTTCCTACCATCCTTCCCCAGCCTGTAAATCAGGGATCAAGTGTGCCTTTGCATTGTATTGTGCTACTGTTTTTGATTTTCATTGATGCTGACTTGAATTTGATGAAAAGTCTAAGTGAATTTTTCTTAAGAACAGCACTGCAAGCCATTGAGTCCAGTTTCTTCTGCCCTAGGCTGAGATTAAAAGTATGCAGGGCTTCTCACTTTTTGTTGCTTATTTGTGTGCATGTGTGTTTATTGTTATGTAGCCCTAGAACTCACCATGGAGACCAGGCTGCTCTCAAACTCAGAGGTCCTCCTACCACTGTAGAGTTAGTGGATGAGTGTTTTGCCTGCGTGTATATCTGTGCAGCACCTTTATACCCCGTGCCCACAGAGGCCAGAAGATCTTCTGAGACTGGAGTCTCTGACTTTTGTGAGCCACTGTATGAATGCTGGGAATCGAAACTGCATCTTCTGGAAGAGTAGCCAGTACTGTCAGTTCCTGAGCTATCACCTAAACCTGTTTTTTAAAATACAGGCTCTGGGCATAGGAATCAGGCTGTCATGTTATATCAGGCTGGTTATATTTCACCAGCCCCAATTTAATCAGACACTTTTTGTAATCCTTTCTCTGGAAAGTTGCAGTTGGCTAAAATGAGCTTGTAGGCTCTGACGTGGCTTAGCTGTAAATGTGCTTGAGTAGCACACATGAGGTGTGGATTTTGCACAAAACAGAACTAAACAAAAGAAACAACAATAAAAGCAAGCTCACTCCTGTCACCTTAGCGCTTGGGAGGCTGTGGCTAGAGGATCAAGAGGTTGAGGCTAGTCTGCTTCATGGTGAAAGCCTGTCTGAGGACATAAAAAGAAGCTGGCTTATGGAAAAAAAATCTCCTCTCCAGAGATAACATCACATCAATTATCAAAGAACACAACTTTTTGGGATCTACACCTGTGCAGTTTTACTTCCTTCCTCACTGTCTTTCAAAATAAAATCTTATTTTGGCAAAGGCATTTGTTTAGGTAATTCATTCATTCATTCATTCGTTCATTTACTTACTTATTTATTTATTTATCATTCATTTATTTATTTACTTATTTATTCATGTATGTATGTATGTATGTATGTATGTATGTATGTATGTATGTATGTATGTATGTATGT